GGGCACTCCCGCAATTGCGACAGCGAGAGCGTGCATTGCCTTGCTTCAAAATTACTGTTACTTACGCCTTACGTGTGCAATTGAGCTAGTGGCGTAAGCGGGAAGCGGTGGCAGACGTGGTTACATGTACCTGCACCGTGGAGTACCTGGGCTCGTCGATGCAGCTGGTATCCACGAGGAGACTGGAGTTTTCCTGAGCACCGGCCAGGAACCAACACCGCCAACTCCCAAGGGCCGGAACCACGGCCAATGACGACACAAAGGAGAAACGACAACCAAGGTCAGCGTCATCGTCTACAACATCTTCAAGTTCCTGCAACAAATAAGGACATTGCTCTCCGTGTCTCTGTGCGTGTGTGTGTGTGTGTGCATGCGCGTGTTTTTTAGTTGTGCGTGTATTTGTTTGTGCTGGTGTTTGTGCCTTTGGTATTCGCTTGTGTTTTGGTCTGTTTGTTTGGCTGCTTGTCTGTCTGTATGCTCATCACGTACGGTACAACGCATCCAACAATAAGGCATATTCATACGCAACATAATTCCTGCTGCGGGTGGTATGCTGAAAGCTCTCTTTGAATGAGATCGGTTTGCATGCACCTCGTGCTCAAGCACACTGCTTAAATTCCAGACACACCAGCAGCAGACAGCTTTCAGGCGCATGCTGAAATCTCGCACTGTGCGCAGAATGGCTTAGGTTCCAGGACATGGAAGTCAAAGTAGAGGAGGCACTTAGTTTACTCTACAGTCGACACCAAGTACCTAGCACAATGCATCCGGGAATCGCGGAGGGCAGCAGCTGTCACTGTCCAAAGCGTGCCACTGCCTCAATACCATATTTGCAGCATCTGTGAAATAGATGCAGTCACCACATATGAACCAGATCGGAAGACGCCGCTGGAAGCATTGAACCCACGGAATTGACGTGAGGTGACCCGTCCAATACTGCTTGCAGCTTCCTGGCTGCTGGTAGCCGTGGCTGAGCCAAGCCTGGCAGGACGCCGGGGTAAGTCCCCATAGGCTACGTTAACTGCTTGTATGGTTGTAAGTTATAAGTTGTATAAGTTATAACATATATATATATAGCACACATGTGGGAGGTGTTGTGTCTTCTGAGTCTGTGAGTGGGGCTGAAACACAAACACTTGGGTGCAATAAGAAAACCCCTGAAATAGCGGGCGTGGCCAGGACGATTCAAAGTGATAATGACGGACACGAAAACAATACTGGTTCTTGCCGTTCTGCCCTGCCTTAGCATGCCAGACTTGCTTGAATCTAAGGCCCGGATGTTTTGTGACTAGATTGGCAGTGACGGTCAACCAGTACTTTGGTCATCGCAGAGCAGACAATCGAGCAGTCGCCTGGTTTTCGTGTCTTTAGCTCCTGTGCCTGAAGAAGCTTGCAACAGCTTGAAAAGCAGAAACCCAGCAAGATGTCGACCCCTCAACTCCCTACGCCAGAAACTGCCATCCGCGAAAGTCCCGAGATCGATCAGGCTTAGCCCCCGAAGCCCTTCGAACACCCGAAACAATATGGCTCAAGTTTTGTGCGAAGCTTCCGAGGCGAGGATCCGGTCGAAATAGTCCAACATGGTCCTTACGCTCCCTCTCTCACTTTGTAGCATCGTCCTGGTTGCTGCGGATCCGGCTCTCTTCGAGCCCGACCCGTTTACCGGCGTACAGCAGCAGCTAAGGGGGCCGGCAGATCTTGATCCTTTTGGTGACACTGTCGAAGAAGATGGCCGCAGTGAGAAGTGGCTGAGAGACATCAGCACCCGGACCAAGAACCACTTCAAGAAGCTCCTGCAGCCTCTTCAGACTCCGATCGTGCAGGAGTACCAGGTCTTGACCATCCTCGATGGATACGTCAACTACACGATGCAGCTGGTTTCGAATGCCACGGGCCATGAAGTCGTCTGGAACAGGACCGGCCGTTTTCTGTCCGAGGAGCCTCGAGAGTTGAGGCCCCGAAAGCAGGAGCTGCCGCCCAGAGCACGCTACATCAACAAGATCCTAGGTAGGCCTTTAAGGGACATTTTATAGATTCCCCTTAAATTGGGCTTAAGAGGATCTTATTTAGGAAGATTTTTTCGGAGGCTCTGAGGGGCCAACCTAGGATCTTGCTCTACATAAACAAGGAGATGGAGGTAGTGTGGAATCTCAAGACCATTGTTGACAGAAAGCGGTGGGGTGTCGGAAACGTCATCACCTCCTCGCCCTATGGCCCGCATGGTGAACATCCAGAGCGCTGGAGGGCAAATGGTTCATTCCCGCTTCCCGCCGCTGCCCCGAACAACAGCATTCTCTTGCAGGACAGCTATATGGGTTTGGGTTTGTGGACTCAGGAGTTAGGTTTCCAGCGACTAGAGCTTCCGCTTCATGTCTATCAGGACAAGAGAATCAATCTGGTGTTCCACATCAAGCCTGATGTTGAAGAGCACGAGAACAAGTACGCGAAGCAACTCCAGGCCGACTACGAGTCCTTGGTCCACAACATCAACGATGCAAGTCAGAAGATCAGCGATCTTCGGACCAGGCTCTGGAAGATGGAAGATTTTGCCAAGCAGTTCATCGCCCTCCCCTCCGGCGTGTGGAACAAGATCGATGCGAACTGAAGCGTGTGTTGCATGTGATCCACTTTTGACTCCGGGAACCATCCCCCATGTTTTCCTTGAGGTAAGGTGCCTCGTCTCCTGGCTCGGTTTTGCACGTTTTGGTGCCCACAAGAGGCACGACCCATAGAGGCTTTGATGCTGCGTGATGCTCACGCCTTGGAGTGCCTTTTACAGTGCCAGGCCCTCCCTCGCCCGCACAACTGTCCGAGTGCACAGTGCGAGTTTCAAAAGCCATCACGGCAAAGCCCTAAACGACAATAGCACAAGAAGCTGCAAGAGGCTTATCCCACAAACCCAAATACCGTTATAGGTACTCTACAGGCCCAGCTCAAGAGCCCAACTGGCCCCTGCAACATCGCAACTCCGAAACCGAAGCGTTGAACGTCCTGAGCTCGAAATCCAACCCTCATATATAACCCAAAGGGTCTAAGTACCCATATAGTAGGTATTTTGGGCCCCTAAGTATCTACCATAATAGTACTTAGACCCTTTGGGTAAGTTGCAACCTCCAAACCCCGAAACCCCTACTGCTGCTGGCCTTCATTCGAACCCGAGATGCCGCATACCACAGCCCCTCAGGCCTCAAGCCACCATGACGTCGGGTTCTTTTCGCAAGAACCCCATAATCGTGTTTCCAGAAGCATCCTGTCACAATCCTTATAAGGACCCCGATGTGGTGTCATTCCGGATGTCGGGTGAGTTCCGACCGATTGGGATACCCTGAGAACTGGGTGAACGCGAACCGTAGACGGTAAGCATCGAAGAGGGCCTTTGAGATCCTGACAGATAGAATCAGACAGAAGCCCGACAGAAGCTAAATCTTCGCGACTCACAGGAACGTCGTACTAAGTTGCGGTACACAACACCCGCCGGAAAAAAATTACGCAGGATCTGACTCGGGTCCGACCAGCGATCCCGTGTCCATCGTCGTAACCTCGGTGAAGACATCAGTCAAAGCAGCAGCCGCTTGTTGGGGCTCAGGGTTTACAACGGGCATTGCTGTCAGGGTGCGAAATCCCCCAGAACTTGAACTCAAAGGGGCCGCGACAATGGTTGCAATGGCCATGCATGATGCAAGCACATACTCTCACTGCTGCCACCAGCACTTCTTCGATGCACTGAGCTTGGGACGGCCCATTCAGATTCTGATAAGGTCGCATATCTCCCAGAGTGGCGCTATGAAGGCTCGAAGGGTGCCAGCAAAAGCATCGCAGAAAGTATCATGCTCATCTAGATTTTTGCAGCCGTTCCAGTGCTGTAGCCATAGCCATTGACTGCGAGGTGCCAATTGGGAGACGATCAGCGAGCATACAACGCACTTGCTGCGTCTTGCCGCAATTGTAAGGTTCACGAGGCGAAGTGTGCAGACGGGTGTGGAACTCTCAGAGCTTTATTACATGCTTGGTTTAGCGATCATCCTTTACAGCATCCGTTTCGTGGGAACACGCTCGCCCGTGTAGACAAGGTGTTGGACTTGCTGATTTTTCCCGTGGTTAGCAATTGCATTAACACCCGACAGAACCACCCCGAAGTTCGTTTGCTTCACATTGGCGCGGCTGCACAAAGGCTGTTTTCCCTGGAGATGGAGCCCAATGGCGGCGGGCTTTGTTTGCACAGAATGAGTGGCAAACTGCTATTTAAATCAAGCCACATCGATTTTACATCATCCAGCCTGAACTAGGAACGTCTAGCTCGGAGTGACTTCCGTAAGAGCTTCAATTCGGCCTCGTTTCTGCAGTTGTCTGGGGCGCAATAGCGACAGACGAACGCACACACACACACACACATAAAGATATGTAAATCTGGTTACTTAGATCTACATATGCACACTTACATGTATATTCATGCGTATATACATACACAAATACATACGTATATGTTTGCGTATATACGCATGATCTGTGCATATGTGTATAAACACATGTATCCATGTGCATATGTATGTCATGTTATGTATGTGTGTATGTATGCATGTATGTATATATGTATTTACGTATGAACGTATGTATGTGTGCATGTATG